GGGGGACGCCCTGGACGCCAGTCCATCAGAGGACACAGGGCTGGGGGACGCCCTGGACGCCAGTCCATCAGAGGACACAGGGCTGGGGGACGCCCTGGACGGGATGCCAGTCCATCAGAGAACACAGGGCTGGGGGACGCCCTGGACAGGACACTTGTTCATTACAGGACACAGAGCTGTGAGACGCCCTGGACGGGATGCCAGTCCATCACAGGACACAGAGCTGTGAGGGAACAAAAAAGTACAGAGTGAATGGAGACCCCAAAGACCAGGCTGGGAAACATCAAGCTGAAGCCTTCAGCTCACAGTGTCTGTTGGTATGACAGTCATTTTGGGGAGTAATTCGGTCCAATTATTGCTCTGCATTGTTGTTTAACAGCCAAGGAATATGAGCACCTGGTGCATCATATGGCGCAAACACGGTTTAGACTGTTCCAAAATCCCAATATAGAAACATATAGAAATGCCTCCTTAGATGCTGCTACAGAAACTCAAGAGTGGCTTTATGAATAGCAGCATGAAGTCAAATGGACGCCTCAGTCGCTAGATGCACACATCACTGAAGCATTATGAGCAGTTCTGGGGCATCTGCAATCTCAGAGAACTGGAGGTTTTCCTGCTTGAAGAGTGATCCAATATCACACGGTCAAGGGTGTGTAGCACAGCATTCCAGGGAAGACGAATGGCAGCCTGCCCCCCACTGGACCCGTCATATTGATATATTTTTAGATGTTAGTTTTACCCTTGTTTCATCCACCCCCTATATATACAAAGTGACACTAGTGAACCGCACCTGTTAGTTCTTGGTGTAGAAGTGTCGGTTGATGGATGGCTTCAGTGTGTCTGTTTTTGTAACGCTTTCTACTTAATGGCATTATACTGACCTCTTGTGGCTGTATTGTGTATCGCCTGAGCTCAGATCACGAAAGGTAACATTTGTTGAACCTGATCAGAAAATAAAGGCATTTATTTCTTACTTCAACCGTATTCACTCCAACCAGCTCCAGATCTAGAATTATATTGTGCTATATTGTGACTGCATGCCGTTTTCTTGTACATCTGTGAACTCAAATCAATGCAGGCATTTAAAAATAAGGTAACATTTGTAGTAAATATTTTATATGCTTTCTGTCAGACAGAGGTGGATAGTTTAGGAGCAGAAAGTAAAAATCCAGGCCAATATTTTGTGTCAACCAACCAACTGAGCATAAAGAGACAATCACAAAGTTCTTAACTGTTTGGTCTGGATTTTTACTCATCTCTGCATTCAGCTTCATTTTACATTAAGCAGGCAAATGAAAATAAATCAAAGTAAAGCCGAAGGAAAAAAGAAAACTAATCAGGGGATTGTAACCCCCCCCCCCCATAACTAAGCTCCTCCCAGCGTGACTAAGCTCCTCCCCATGTGATTAGGCTCCCATGGTGTTTTGTAAGAGAAACCGTGGGACCTGATCTATTGTTTTGATTTCTCATTCTGAAAATAAGCTTCCAGGCAAAACACGGAGGCTTCTTTCAGCCTCTCCCTCCTCCTTTTGGGTGCTGCACACTGTACCACAGGGTTCCCCAATTACTCTTCCTCGAGGACTGGATTCCATCAGCAATACAAAGCCAAAGGCCGCAGCCCAGACATTTGACTCTTGCGGGCGGCCAATTGGGGAACCCTGCTCTGCCGGTTTTCAGTTCGCTGTGGGGCGTGTGTGGATGCATCTCTGGCTCCACTTTTAAACCACTGACATTAAAAACAGAACGCCAATAAAAGTTGCCGGTTCCTGGCTTAGAAAAGCAGATGTTGCCGAGCCTGGCAGATGACGCGATTTGCTCAGAGGCCAAAATGCCTGTCTAAGTGTTTTTGACGTCGTTTGAGCTGGATCCTCCCAGTTCGTGGGAAGACGCTTGACTACCTTTGTTTATGCTGGAGCTTATCCAGTTAGCCTGCAGATTCAGGGAAACACTCAGCAGGCTCAGGGTCCAATACAAATACCATTCCAGTCAGGTATAATATAGTGTGTATATACTGTATATATAGTTTAGCTTTTAAAGAAAGAAATCTCCTGATATCAACTCGCTGTCCAGTTTAAACATACTGAGGAAATAATTTTGTTGCCCACAGCTTATCATGCATAAGATGAGTGCTTATGGGTATGATGGGTATTGTTTCCTGTAAGATTTAATTCAGCAGCAACAAAACAATTGCATTGGTAATGGGCATGGGCTGGGGGGTGAAAAAGTATGTTATTTTCTTCTTCTTTAAATGGCATCAGGCCTTTTTTTCTGCTGCTGATGCCTGATTGGGTAATCCGTGAGCACATGGCTTTGCAGGAAACTGTGGAATTAGGGGCACCTGCCTCAGCGCTGAGGAGCTGAGAAGCGGCAGATGAATCCCTTGTCTGTTTTGGAACTTTGGATACAATCTTCTGCGGGACGTGCCCCTCCGAGGGCCTAGAGAAGACAGACAGGCAAACTGAAGGGGCGTCTTTGTCTCGCAGGTCCTGGCCCAGAATTGTACGGTAGCCCCGCCCACACCCACCGAGATGGACCCATACGAGCGGACGCGGTACTGCAGGTGGCCATGTGAGTGCCCTGCCAGCCTGCCTGTCTGCCCCCCCGGCGTCAGCCTCATCACAGACGGCTGCGACTGCTGCAAGGCCTGCGCCATGCAGGTGGGCGAGACATGCAACGAGGCCGACACCTGCGACTACCACAAGGGGCTGTATTGCGACTACAGTGCAGACAAGCCTAGGTACGAAAAGGGAGTGTGTGCATGTAAGTGACCTCATACTCACTGCTATGCTTGCTTCTCGAGTGATTCACTGCATGTACTGCAGGAACTTACAGCTGGATTTTTTTTAAGCTATTTAGGGTAAGCACCTTCATCAAAAAAGACAGGGAGTGGCACTTGAACCAGCAATACTTTGGTTACAGTTCAACTCCTTAACTATTACACCACCTACTGGCTAGAGGCATATATGCATATATAAAAACAAAAAAGACCCCAGAGTAATGAACCATAGAAACCTATTCCAATGTACACAGATATGTGAAGCTACAGTGAGCCTGAACATTTTGACATTAGATGTCTGATTTATTGCAGTCAATGGTGTAGATTTGGGTATGGAAGATAAGCACCATGTGTGTTTCTGTGGGTGGGGGATTTGGGACTGATTTGGTCCCTGCCAATGTGGAAACCTACACCCTTGATCTGAGTGCAGCTTTGGGTCCCTAACAGCGTGATGGTGACCTGCATGTGATGTATCAGCCGGGCCAGCAGCTGGCGCCGTTTCCTCTTGTTTGTTTTTCTTCACCATGCATGCGCAGATGTGGTGGGGACGGGCTGCGTGCACGATGGGGTGATTTACCGCAACGGCCAGAGCTTCCAGCCCAGCTGCAGGTTCCGATGCCTCTGCATAAACGGTGCCATTGGCTGCCTGACACTGTGTGCTGACTTTGAGCCGCCGCGGGTTTGGTGCCAGTCGCCGCGGCAGGTCCGGCTGCCCGGCCGATGCTGCGAGCAGTGGATCTGCGACGACGGGCCACAGAAGGTCCGCAAGACCTTCCCCAGGCACACGTTGGAAGGTACTGGGCAATTCCACCACCACATTCCACTCTCTCCTCTTCGAAGCCGCGTGATTCGTGGGAAGGTCCCTCCTCTGATCTCCCGCCTCTAATCTCGCGCCCTGCCATTTATTTGCTGACAGCGCGAACGAGCAGCAGCAAAGCCTGGCCACAAAACTGCGTGACGCAGACGACGCCCTGGAGCCCATGTTCAAAGACGTGCGGCAGGGGGCTGTCGGTACGCGTGACAAGCAGCAATGACCGCTGTGAGCCCGAACATGAGACACGCCTCTGCAGCATCCGTCCCTGCAAAGTGGACATCAGCCGGCACATCCAGGTAGGGAGTCCCTTCACCTGGGGCGGGTCGTGATCACGCCTCATGAACAGAAACAAGGTGCCAAGCAAAAGTACACTCAGCCACTTTAGAAAGCAAGCGAAATCCATTAAGCTGGAAAGAGCTTCAGACTATGGAGAGAAAGGCTGCCAACTCAAACACTTCTGAGCAGGACACTTAATTCCAACCATAAGTGCTTCTCAAAGGAAGCACAGGACACCTTAGATGTTATATTAGTACACGATAATAGACGGGTAGGAGCATCAGTTCATCTCACACCCCTGCGAACGTAAGACTATATGGTGCAATCCACCAAGTTCCCCAGTGAGCTGGTGAAATACCCCAGTAAAATATCCGCAGTATTAAAGGGTCAAATTTCCAAATTGGTTCAGATTTCAGTGTCCGCTGAGAAAGCAAGCGATGAAATAAAACAAAGGACGGCCGATTAAAACTCATGCTGTCGCTTCTCATCCTCAGCCAGGGAAGAAATGCCTGAACATTTACAGGGAGAACCAGAGCCAGAATTTCACCTTGTCGGGATGCGTCAGCACGAGGCCCTACTGGCCGAAGTACTGCGGCGTCTGCACAGACGACCGCTGCTGCACCCCCTACAAGTCCAAGACCATCCGAGTGGACTTCCAGTGTCCCAGCGGCGCCGTGTTCTCCAGGAGTGTCATGTGGATCAACGCCTGCTTCTGTAACCTCAGCTGCAAGAATCCCAATGACATCTTTGCCGACTTGGTGCGCTATTATGATTATTCCGAGATCGTGAACTGAGAAGGTGGGGAGTTTCAGATAAGCCCACCACCCCAAGTGGACATTCCCATTCTTATATGGTTTACCTGATAAGCAGCTTAAGCAGTGATATCATTAAACCAGTTATTTTCCCTTCTGTATTAACATATTACGCAGTTATTTAATCTCAGTACCTTACAGAATGTTTCTATGATTGCAGTATTTTTTTCAAAATGAATGCATATATGCAAAATCTTATTTTTTCCCATTGGAAAAATATTTTATTATATTTGTTTAATAAAAGAGTGTTACTTATTTGTAATGCACATAATGATTGCCCTTATTGTGTCCAAAATGCACCATTTGTTTTAAAGAACACTTTGCTCGATTCCTATTTCGTTTGAACAGTGACATTCAAAGCTGCACCAGTCATTGACATTCAGTGACACTCTTTGACACATTTCTGAATGGAAAGAGTCACCATTACCAGCAAAATCAGTTAGGACAAGCCACACTAACAAAGTCACCTAACCCTGACAGAGATTATATTGTCCGACTCATATTTAGAAAATCCAAACACATATGCAGGGGATCAGAACGCAAGGTCAGCTAGTATTCAGTGCCCCTGGAATAACGGGTTAACGGCATTACCCAAGGGCCCTATGATGGCATCTGTCCATGGGACTTAAACCAGGAAGCCTCCAATCACAGGCACAGAATCCTAACCTGCTGGGCTACAACAGCCCACAGATTCCCAGCGATGCTTGGATGGAAGACAAAGCATAACTAATGAAGAGGAAATACTTCAAGTAGTTACCGTATCAGAAAAAATAAACTGAACCCATTAAACACTACCGATAGAAAACATTTCTTAAATGGTACATCGTCTTGCGTAGGAAATAATCTTTTTAGAAACGTATACGTATATAGGTTATATAACTGTTTATATAACTCTCTTATATTGCTCAGCCGCTCATCAGCAAAGCCCACCCAAGGTCTGCAGGAGAAAAGGAGACCTTCACTATGTAACACTGGGCTTTGTAAATTGGCTTTACTGGGGAAAACACGCTCTTATGCAATAGATGCAATAACAAGCAGAGAGAGCTGCTTGTGCCTGAGAACAGTGTTATTCTCGCTCTTTGGAATGTGAAAAAGGAGGGAGAAAACCTTCAAGATGTTGGTTGGAAAGTAGTTTCAGAACACGGTAGATAAGGTTAAAGTAACAAGCTGTACGGTCACTAATAACTGTAGAGATGCACAGGCGAGGGGTCCCAGAAAAACCATCTTTTACGACATTTCGGTGAACCCGGATGGAGTCTGCTCCAAGCTATCACTGTCATATCAGTGTGGGAGTTGAGCGAGAGTCACTGTAGGAGTATCAGTGTCGGAGGAGAGGGAGTCTTACTGCGAAAGCGTCACTCTCAGAGTATCTAAGAGTGAGGGTATAGTACCTGCAAAAATAACTCAATAACCCCACCCGTAAGCATATGGAAGCTAAGGAGCCATAAAACTTTGGGTTTTTCCGCCCTGACGGGCAGGTATGGATCAGTTACCCACCTCTCATAACACTTGATAAAGTGCTACAGGTCGGTCTGCTCCATATCATTAAAACTCTGCTGCTGATGTATGTCGATAAGGTCTTAATTGTTCTAAATATATGCCTGCAAAAACAAAGAGCAGTACAGTGGTAACAATGGGTCGTTCAAACTAGCAACAGAAGACAGAAAAATGGAATTTGTACGGCAACGGCAAATGCGCTATATGCCAAAGTTTTACACGATGGACGTTTTTTGCCAAAGCAGTATCTGATGCACCTTAAGTGTGACTCAGGTTAGCCCACCTTCCCAAACAGGTGAGTGATGATGATGATGATGATGATGATGTCAAGCAGAGTCTGCATGTGTCCTGTGCTGCATTCATAGCTGTTTTCCCGTGGGCTTCTCTTCCTGTGAACACTCAGCTTTAGATAAGCTATTAAACCAGCTTTTTAACATGCATACTTATAATTCCTTAATAATTAAAGTCCATTCTTTGCATAATTAATCCCCAAAACCCTGAAAGTAAGAAGCACGTTATACATTCATTATACATTTCTCAAATAATTATTTTTCTTTTAGTATTTATTTTTACATGCTGTAGGCTGGACAATTGTTCAACTTTAATACATTTAAATACTAATACACTTTGTGGATTGTGTCAGAAGTCAAATACAAGGCTTCACTATTTAAAATATTAAGATGATGGCTACTCACAACTGTATTAGTCAGGTAAACTTGACTTAGCCCCTAATATTTTTCAACAGCTAGAAACTCCCCTGGGCATGTGGGTTAATGTTAGTCAGGTCAAGTGCCTCCCCTAGATTTAAGTGATTCAACTGAAGTCAATATACTGTAATATTTCAGCATGTGAAAATCCCTGAATAATTAGGTCAGCTCAGGTCAGGTTAGGGAGCATGTACTGGTGCAGTGCATTGCAGTACCCACTGCACGGCGAAACACAGCTGGGTCCTGGTCGGTGACATCCCAAGACGACAAGCGGTCCACTGCCACCTTCCGGAAATGGCCGTCTGTCTGCCGCAGCCAGGTGTCACGTGGGCGTCCCCTTGGCCTGGTCCAGCTGCTGGGATCATTTCATTTCAAAGGCATCTTGATCTTCAAACTTAGCTAAAAGAAATCCAGGATGTGAGGAAAACCTTCAGACAGCTGCTCTATTGATGGGTGGCTTTACCACGTTCAGGCGATCCGACTCCCTAGTAAAAAAAAATCCAGTGTAACATTCTAACTACAATATGTCTACAGACAAGAAGGTTTTAATTCCACTTCCTTTCACTACTGTTTGTCACTTATTAGTCCATGTGTTGGACCTGGACGTTACAGAATTGGAAGGATGGATAAATGGCCATGACCCATGGAACCATAATCCCTGCAGAAGAGCTGTTAGAATAAAATGTAAGCAATGTGAGAAAAACTACAAGTCTGCCTTGGAAATACGATTGCATTAATCTGATTGACCCAAACAGAGTGCATATGCAGGGACAAAGCTATGATGAGTAACAAGGCCCCTAACAAATATGGAACATACTGTAATTGGATTGGTCTGACTTGCCGGCCCAACGATATGCTTTAATGGGGCTCAAAATCTCTAGCAGCGCCCTTGTGTGTATGAAGGCGAGTGGCAGATGGTGCCCCCACAGGCCAGGGAGTGACTGTTTTTCCATGTCCTACAAATGCAGTGTGATCTGTCTGGTTATGACAGGGAAGGTGGCAATGAGCTAATGAGCCGGGCACATTGTATAGGCAGCAGAAGGCCCCTGTTTCAGAATGACTGCCCCCACCTGTGAGGCTCAAAAACGTGAAGGGGATCACTTATTGAAAACGAATGTATTTGCATACGGACACACGCATTTAGCTTAAAGCTCTCTGTAACCACAATACACTTTCCTTTGTACGCTCTCGTGATCTCAGAAAGCACCAGGAAGCAGCCCCAGCCCACTGGCCGTCCCTCTTTTTATAGCACCGAGAGCAAATACACGCTGTCCTCGCGGTGACTGGAGGTGCTTAAGCTTAACAGAACACCAGCTTAGGAGCTTATAAAGTGTCATTATAATTTGCAGCAGCGTTGCACTTAGAAGACCATCTTCACATGATCTGCAGAGAATGGATTTTAAACTGTTGATTCCTGCATATTACTAATCATGATGACAGCAACATATTTCTTTTTATTATTATCATAAACAGGAATATAAGAATTATGTAAGTGTATAAGAATCAAAGACATTGCAAGATACTGGTTTACTTTGTAAATGACTATAAATTCATTGGAATGAACACACTGATATGTACCAGAGATTCAGAAGCTGGTGACAGGAACTGAAAACTAAAGCGCTGATGAGTAAACAGGGTTCACTGTAAGTTTAACGTGCTGCTGTACCTGAGTATACAGCAGGGGTATTCAACTAAAATTTAAAGAGGCCCAGTTAGAGAAAACTTCTTGAAGCAAAGGTCCGGAAGATCATACTGTCTAACTATTTAGTGTGATCTACATTTAAGTAGCCTATTAGTTGTACCAACATTGCGTGTAATCAGTACCTGACTGTCAAATCAAATTAATTCAGTACAATTCAAAAACGTTTTGACAATATTTATTGTCACGTGACAAAGAACTTCGGCCAGCAGGCTGGAGTGAGATCTGCAACTCGAGATGTCTGCACACACATGTAGGCCTAACAGTTCTTACCTTGTAAATAGTCTGCTTTTGTATTTAACCATGTAAATACACTTTTGACGTAGCTAATTTTAGGTTTTATAATGAAATAATATAGATTTGCCGTAAGATTTCCAAGCGTGAGTCTGAAAGCGTGAGTGTCATGCCAGATGGTTGAGATTTGGCAGCCATGAAAACGTACATTTTTTGTTTCACCCGAGTTTATTTATATAACAGATAACATTACTTTATACATATGTTAAAAAGCAGAAACTTCAACGAACATGAAATCAACAATAAACTACGTCTATTTATCCAATATGTTATATAATACATACTGTACTTGAAAACTGTTCAGCTTTACGATTTCAGGACAGACCAGTCACTCTGTTAGGAACATTACGGTTTTTTGGATGTGGTTTTAGCTTCGATGCTGCTACTAACACTAACGGCACATTAGCGCAGACAAAGGGCTGCATACGCCGAACTATGTCTTACTTAGCGGTCAAAGGCGTTTGACGTTCATTGGCGTGGGAAACAGCAGCTCTAAGGCTAAACCACTACTGAAAAGACTACAAGCGCTGCGCCGGTTAAAATAGAAGCGTCCCGTCAGGTTTTAAATTATAACTTAATGTTTTGGCTATCGGTCCGGGTCCGTATGGGACAGCTTCTGGGTCCGGACCCGGCCTGCGGTCTGCCTGTTAGTGACCTCTGGTATACAGTAAAGCACAGAACGCTTAGATCTACATTTTTACCACAGTCCATCTCCTGCACTGTCTGGAAAAACAGTACCAATTTGTACCTTTGAGGGTACAATTATTTGTCACTGGGGACGTACCCTCAAGAGTCTGCCAACTGAATCTGAGCTGTCAGTAAATGTACCTTTCAAGGTATAGAAATGGACACTGAGGAATGTTTTTTGTACCACTGAGGGTATATTATTGTTGTTTGTACCTTGGGGAACAAAACTGTACCTTTATTTCTGACAGTGTGTAATACTGAGATCATAATGGTCACACGCTGTAGCTGAATGATTATATCTGTCACTAGGTAAACTTACCATTTCTGTAAATATTTCTTAGGAGTAACTTCAAATTAACTTGCCTGTGTGCCTTTCTAGTGGTTTTC